AGATTTGAAGATATTAGATTGCACTATCCATACAAAATAACAAACTAAACTGTTTGCTCTATAGCAAACAATATAATCTATACGAGGAAATTATATTGAAAATATTTATCTTTAATCAAATAAAATTGTGAGCTTCGGCAAACTTTAGATATTGTTTACGAGCATTTGTTGTATTACTTCGAATTGAACTGAGCACAATGTATCTTCCGGTATACAGAGCACTCGTGAAATTTCCAGCCAACGTTCCGCTTATGACATATAGAAATTAGTTTCACTTTAAAGTTATTGTGTTTTGAGTGTTATGGAATTGAGGTGACATTACCTGTATACACTGCAACTGGAGTTGTCGCAGATGTGTTATCTAAGCAACAATTGCATTGAAAGCTATCTTATCAATTAAGTATCGGCAAACAGAGATACTTGTATTGGGGAGAGTGCAGGGAGCTTGGCTTACCTTGCATTTCATCAGCCCGATCAATTTTGAGACCCTGTTGAGCGACGGCTATCAAGCCGATTGCGTACTCCTTGTCGCATTTGGCCTTCATTTGGATGGATCGTTTCATTGTCTCCATGAGACGCAGTTCCGCGTCTTGGCGCACGATTAGCGCCTCGTGAGCGGCGCGGCCCTGCAGGGCCGTGGAGAAGCCCATTTTGGCTCTGGTGTGAAATATTGGTTAAATGCTCGACGCTTCAAGTTTTCGGACGTATTTCTTTCTTAAATTTTATTTATTTCTCTTTACTTTTTGCCAATGAGTCACAATTGCATGCTTAAACTGAACGAAGCGAGGGCTACAAAAGTATTAAACAACAAAATTAACTTCGCTCGAAGAGCATTGCGCAACGCGACACCACGATTCACAAACATGTGGCAAACACTTGTTGCATGCCAATATTTATGGCTTTAAGCATGTGCTGCTGGCCAGAGTATTTTCCACTCTCTTTTTTGACACTTTTGACACTGTGCACTCGAAGGGCGTTCAGTCGCCGCTGCTGAGTCGAATCAATTAATATTTTCGTCACACACACATTGGAAATTTCTTAAGAAATACAATACAAAT